GAATAATTCTGGAAAACAGGGATATTTCCTGCATTGCCTATAGTCAGTAATTTCTACCGCTGTGTTTTTCCTAAACATATAATAAAACAGTTGAATGATCTTGGTAAAATACAGACGCAATCTTACTTTATTTACAGCAGCACTTTTTATTTCCCTAGACCAGCATCTCACACAAGGATAGATTTTTTTTTTTTGCTGTAATATGTCAAATGGCCCACAGTCTGTTTTGCATGTACTGTATGAAGAGTTTGCAACACTGCATATATAGTACATGAAGTACTGAAGGTCCAAGGGTTATTAATTTCATAGGTCTCTTCTACCATGTGCTAAAGGTTTGGGAAAACATGACTGATTAAATAAATAACAAGTTCTATTAAATATTTCAGAGGGGCATCAGTGGTATGGCAGTTAAGAACTAGGGCCTCACAACTCTTTTAAATTCTTTGATTCCAGAAAGGTATCTGTCTTGGGTTTGTATGTTCTCCTTGTCTCCTCGGGTCTTCCTGTGCCTGTGCGTTTGTGTGTCAGAGCCCTGTGATGCACTGAGTCTTGTCCTGGGTGTATTCCTGCCTTGTGTTCTGTGCAAAGGGAGATCCACAAGGTTTTGTGCAGGTGGCCCTATTCTTTTCTCCATCTACTGAACATTAATAATATTTCTCATGCATTAGGCTGCAAGCATATCCAACTCTGTGCACCATCTTAAATACTGTATTCACCAGGACACAAGCAATGCGATGCGGGTCTCAAATTAGTTCACAGAAAAGTCACCGGATACACAAACTAAACTTGCAGGCTAAAAGAACAGAAACTTTTTAATCTGGAACAGACGAGGCTGTGGTGTGACCTCATTCAGATATCGAAATTCCTCAAAGGCACTGACAAAGTCACCACGCTGGATTTCTGCGAAAATCAGCAGTTAAGCAAAGAGCACAGGACACAAGCCGTCCCTACATACAAACTGAGAAAACTAAGCTGAGGAGAGGTGGAACGTCATTACACAAAGGGTTGTGGGAGGATGGCACAAGCTGCCCAGCCACGCTGTTAAAGCTAACACCCTGGCTTTCGTCAAGGCACAACTGGATGAGATCCTTGAATCAGTTAGATGCTGAACAACAATAACCTACAGTAGATGGGCCCAAACTGTCTCTGTTTTGTTTCTAAGCTCTTATACTTGTTTGTCTTTTGTTATAGGCTAATATTTTTAATTTACATCTAGCTTTATTGGCTTTTTCTATCATAATGTTAAAAATACCAACCTCTTGGCATTAGTTTTTGCCCTCGTAAGCATATTTCTTTTCTCTCTCTGTCTGACCTTCTAGAACGTACTGTATATGTGGGCTTTGGCATACACTCTGCACTTTTCTTTTTTTTTTCTTACACCTTACTCTGTTTTTCTTCACTCACCTGTTGCAATGTAACATTTTAAGCTGCATCCATCCAGTTGAGGGTCACAGAGGAGCCCGAGGCTTTCTCACCAAGGCAGAGTCCACACCCTAGACTGGACTCCAGTCCATCGCAGGGCACATTCACACAAGGGCCAAAGTTTCCCCCAAGCCAATGAATTTACCAGTACATCTTTGGACAGTGGGAGGACTCCAGAGAACATGCAAACTCCATGCAGATAGCAGCCCAGGTCAGGAATTGAACTTACGGTGGGGC